ACGTTACACCGATTTTATCCAAAATTTGTGTACTATGTATACAGTTTTCGGTGATTTTGATCATGAAATAGTTTTTGGACGTTCCACCAATTTTACCCAAAATCTGTGTAGCATACAGTTTTAGGTGATTTTGATCGTGAAAAAGTTTTTTGGACGTTCCACCAATTTTACCCAAAATTTGTGTACACTAGTGTACAGTTTTTGGTGATTTTGATCGTGAAATTTTTTTTTGGGCGTTCCATGAATTTCACCCAAAACTTGTGGACTATAGTATACAGTTTTTGGTCATGTTGATCATCAAATAGTTTTTTGGACGTTTCACCAATTTTACCCAAAATAGTATACAGTTTTCAGTGATTTTGATCATGAAATAGTTTTTGGATGTTCCACCAATTTTACCCAAAATGTGTGTACTATAGTATACAATTTTTGCTGATTTTGATTGTGAAATAGTTTTTTGGTCGTTCCACCAATTTTACACAAAAACTGTGTACTAGCATTCAGTTTTTTGTGATTTTGATCATAAAAAATTTTTTTGGACGTTCCACCAATTTTACCCAAAATTTGTGTACTATAGTATACAGTTTTTTGTTAGTTGATCGTGAAACAGTTTTTTGGGCGTTCCACCACTTTTACACAAAACATGTGTACTATGTGTACAGTTTTGGTGATTTTTATCGTGAAATTTTTTTTTGGATGCTCCATCAGTTTTATCCGAAAATCGTGTACTATAGTACACATTTTTTGTTGATTTTGATTGTGAAATAGTTTTTTGGACGTTCCACCAATTTTACACAAAATCTGTGTACTATAGTATACAGTTTTTGGTGATTTCGATCATGAAAAAGTTTTAGGACGTTCCACCAATTTTACCTAAATTCTGTATACTTTAGTATATGGCTTTCGGTGATTTTGATCATGAAATAGTTTTAGGACGTTTCATCAATTTTACCAAAAATCTATTTACTATAGTATATAGTTTTCGGTGATTTTGATCATGAAATAGTTTTTGGACGTTCCACCAATTTTACCCAAAATTTGTGTATTATAGTATACAGTTTCTGCTGATTTTGATTGTGAAATAGTTTTTTTGACATTACACCAATTTTACCCAAAATATGTGTACTACAACATACAGTATTTGGTGATTTTGATCGTGAAAAAGTTTTTTGGACGTTCCACCAATTTTACCCAAAATCTATGTACTATAGTGTACAGTTTTTGGTGATTTTTATCGTGAAAAAGTTTTATTTTGATGCTCCACCAATTTTATCCAAAATTTGTGTACTATAACATACAGTTTTTTGTGATTTTGATCGTGAAATAGTTTTTTGGATGTTCCACCAATTTTTCCAAAATTTGTGTACTATAGTATACAGTTTTTGATTTTGATCATAAAATAGTTTTTTGGACGTTTCACTGATTTTACCCAAAATTTGTGTACTATAGTATATAGTTTTCGGTGATTTTGATGATGAAATAGTTTTTGGACGTTCCACAAATTTTACACAAAATTTGTGTACTATAGTTTACATGTTTTGCTGATTTTGATTGTAAAATAGTTTTTTGGACGTTCGACCAATTTTACACAAAATCTGTGTACTATAGTATATAGTTTTTTGTGATTTTGATCGTGAAAAAGTTTTTTGGACGTTCCACTAATTTCACCCAAAATTTGTGGACTATAGTATACAATTTTTGGTGATTTTGATCATGAAATAGTTTTTTGGACGTTCCACCAATTTTACCCAAAATATGTGTACTATAGTATACGGTTTTTAGTGATTTTGATCATGAAATAGTTTTTGGACGTTTCACCAATTTTACCCAAAATTTGTGTAATATAGTATACAGTTTTTGCTGATTTTGATTGTGAAATACCTTTTTGGTCGTTCCACCAATTTTACACAAAAACTGTGTATATAGCATACAGTTTTTGGTAATTTTGATCATGAAAAAGTTTTTTGGACGTTCCACCAATTTTACCCAAAATATGTGTACTATCTAGTATAAAGTTTTTTGTGAGTTGATCGTGAAATTTTTTTTTGGGCGTTCCATCACTTTTACACAAAATCTGTGTACTATGTGTACAGTTTTTTGTGATTTTTATCGTGAATTTTGGATGATCCACCAATTTTATCCAAAATTTGTGTACTATAGCATACAGTTTTTGTGATATTGATCGTGAAATAGTTTTTTGGACGTTCCACCAATTTTGTCCAAAATTGTGTACTATAGTATATACAGTTTTCGGTGATTTTGATCATGAAATAGTTTTTGGACGTTCCACCAATTTCACCCAAAATTTGTTTACTACAGTATACAGTTTTTGCTGATTTTGATTGTGAAATAATTTTTTGGAGGTTCCACCAATTTAACGCAAAATCTGTGTACTATAGTATACAGTTTTTTTGTTATTTTGATCGTGAAAAAGTTTGTTGGACGTTTCACCAATTTCACCCAAAATTTGTGGACTATAGTGTACAGTTTTTTGGTGATTTTGATCATGAAATAGTTTTTTGGACGTTCCACCAATTTTACCAAAAATATGTGTACTATATATAGTATACAGTTTTCGGTGATTTTAATAATGAAATAATTTTTTGACGTTCAACCAATTTTACCCAAAATTTGTGTACTATAGTATACAGTTTTTGCTAATTTTGATTGTGAAATAGTTTTTTTGACGTTCCACCAATTTTACACAAAATATGTGTACTATAGCATACAGTTTTTGGTGATTTTGATCATGAAAAAGTTTTTTGGACGTTCCATCAATTTTACCCAAACTCTGTGTACTATAGTATATAGTTTTTGGTGAGTTGATCGTGAAAAAGGTTTTTGGGAGTTCCATCACTTTTACCCAAAATCTGCGTACTATAATGTACCGTTTTTGGTGATTTATATTGTAAAAAAATATTTTTGGATGCTCCACCAATTTTATCCAAAATTTGTGTACTATAACATACAACTTTTGGTGATTTTGATCGTGAAATAGTTTTTTGGATGTTCCACTAATTTTAGCCAAAAATTTGTGTAATAGTATACATTTTTTGGTGATTTTGATCATGAAATAGTTTATTGGACGTTTCACCGATTTTACCCAAAATCTGTGTACTAATATAGCTTTCCGTGATTTTGATCATGAAATAGTTTTTGGACGTTCCACAAATTTTACCCAAAATCTGTGTACTATAGTATATAGTTTTTGGTGAGTTGATCGTGAAAAAGTTTTTTGGGAGTTCCACCACTTTTACCCAAAATCTGTGTACTATAGTGTACAGTTTTTGGTAATTTTTATCGTAAAAAAGTTTTTGTGGATGCTCCACCAATTTTATCAGAAATTTGTGTACTATAACATACTGTTTTTGGCGATTTTGATCGTGAACTAGTTTTTGGATGTTCCACCAATTTTATCCAAAATTTGTGTACTATAGTATATAGTTTTTTGTGATTTTGATCATGAAATAGTTTTTTGGACGTTCCACCGATTTTTACCCAAAATCTGTGTACTATAGTATACAGTTTTCCGTGATTTTGATTATGAAATAGTTTTGGGACGTTCCACCAATTTTACCCAAAATTTGTGTACTATATTATACCGTTTTTGCTGATTTTGATTGTGAAATAGTTTTTTGGTCGTTCCCAAATTTTACACAAAAAATGTGTACTATAGCATACAGTTTTTTTGTGATTTTGATCATGAAAAAGTTTTTTGGATGTTTCACCAATTTTACCCAAAATCCGTGTACTATTATAGTATACGGTTTTTGGTGAGTTGATCGTGAAAAAGTTTTTTGGGCGTTCCACCACTTTTACACAAAATTTGTGTACTATGTGTACAGTTTTTGCTAATTTTGATTGTGAAATAGTTTTTTTGACGTTCCACCAATTTTACACAAAATCTGTGTACTATAGCATACAGTTTTTGGTGATTTTGTTCATGAATTTTTTTTTTGGACATTCCACCAGTTTTACCCAAAATCTGTGTACTATAGCACACAGTTTTTTGCGATTTTGATCGTGAAATAGTTTTTTGGACGTTCCACTAATTTTGTCCAAAATTTGTGTACTATAGATTACAGTTTTTGGTGATTTTGATCATGAAATAGTTTTTTGGACGTTCCACCAGTTTTACCCTAAATTTGTGTACTATAAGTATACAGTTTTCGGTGATTTTGATCGTGAAATAGTTTTTGGACGTTCCACCAATTTTACCCAAATTTGTGTACTATAGCATACAGTTTTTGCTGATTTTAATTGTGTAATAGTTTCTTGGACATTCCACTAATTTTGCCCACAATTTGTGTACTATATAGCGTACAGTTTTAGGTTATTTTGATCATGAAATTTTTTTTTAAACGTTCCACCAATTTTATCCAAAATATGTGTACTATAACATACATGTTTTGGTGATTTTGATCGGGAAATAGTTTTTTGGACGTTCTACCAATTTTACCCAAAATATGTGTACTATATAGTTTATAGTTTTTTGTGATTTTGATCATGAATAAGTTTTTTGAACGTTCCACTAATTTTATCCAAACCAGGCACTGAAAAAAAAATACACTACACCGAAAACACACACTAAAAATAAAAACACACACTTAAAAAAAATCACTACACCGAAAACACACACTAAAAAAAAAATACACACAACACAAAAAACACGCACAGAAAATAAAAATACACACTACACCGAAAAAACACACTGGAAAAAAAACACACTACAAAAAAAGCACACACACTACACCGAAAACACACATTACACTAAAAAGTAAAAACACATACTACACCGAAAATACACACTACACGAAAACACACACTAAAAATAAAAACAAACTACACCGAAAACACACACTAACACACACTAAAAATAAAAACACACACTGCACCAAAAACACTCACCGGAAAAAAAAAGCGTACTAAAAAATCTTAAATAACTTTATTGATTGACATTGACTATTTTACCCCGAGGTTCTCATGAAATCCCCGACAGAGTATTCAACGGATAACTGGAGAAAAAACTGCTGTTTGCAAGCACCACAACCCAACCCAACCACATGTTTTTAGTGACGGATTTTGTTCGTAACTTAGTATGAACAAGAAGAAGAAGAAGCTGCTACTGAATATCGTTTAAAATTTTCAAAAGGTAATTAGAAATGGCAGCTTTCCCTTCAGCAAGAATGTGCCCACTCGCCGTTTCCAAATCATCTGAAAGATACAATAGTGAGTTCTCTATATATTCTCTCTCTAGAAACAATCACTAACGTGTTCATGTTTATATAATTTGTTCTGTAATTGAGTCTTGTATCTGCATCCACAAGTTAATCAATGCCATCCCACCAACTGTTCGACAAATTGCCTCAGTGGAATCTATGTTCTTTCTACTGATCTTCTTAACTGTGTAACAGAGGGGTTTCAATCCGGGTGTCGTGCCATGCTTTCGTTTGAGGAACAGTCGCCGCGTAGAAGTTTAATTATTGGAGGTTCTTCTGCTTCTGTACTTGCATTCTTGAACTTGAGCTCTGAGTTAATGTTGTTACCAGCAAATGCCGATGAGAAGAACTCGAATGCTACCGAGGAAGAAGACGAGGGTTTAGGCGGGGCTTTGAAGTCCTTGTTCGATCCTAACGAGAAAACAAAATCGGGTAAAGTTCTGCCAAAGGCTTATTTAAAATCCGCTAGAGAGGTTGTGAAAACACTTCGTGAATCGGTAAATGAGGATACAAAGAACAATGCTAAGTTTAGACGAACAGCTGATGCAGCAAAGGAATCGATCCGGGAATATTTGAGTAGTTGGAGCGGCCAAAAGACAGTTGTCAATGAGGTAGTAAGTTTCTTTCAAACTAATTTTACCATGTCAAGAAACAACCTTTGATAATTTGTGCTTATGTTTCTCCGTAAGTTAGATTTCGTGTGTTTCTAACTATGTATAATACGTAATAGTCTTTTGCAACCGTTTTGATATCAATCCGCAAAAAATCGTTACTTTTTTTTCATTACGAGTTTCTTGTATGCTTTTTTAAGCTTAAAATATGAAATGAAAGAGCGATGTTTTTTTATAACGTTTGGACATTGTTGCTTGTAGGAATCCTATGTTATGATCGAAAAGGCGATAAGATCTCTTGCCGGCTTTTACTCGAAAGCGGGCCCGTCTGCATCGCTTCCAGAAGAAGTCAGGTCCGAAATATTGAGTGATCTCAACACAGCAGAAGATTTTTTGTGAAATTGCTCTCGGTGTGAACACAAAGAACCTATTTGTGTTGCTAGGTTCAATTTACCCTTCATTTCATGTATATATAGCCTTAATTAATGGCCTATATAACTCCCTTCCTGAATAAAACTCTGTTACAGAGCTTATTATAGTTGTCGTTCACAATTCCGACATTATAAATGCTACAACACGTGGAATATCGAGACATTTATCGAACCCACAGAGGCTACAATTCGAGCTGCTACTTAATGTTATTTGATCACATTCTTATAGAGGCTTTGTGGGCCGATATTCGAACAATGTGGTACAGAATAAATATGTCCGTCTTTTGGACAAAAGCTAATTGTGTTTTTTCCTAATTTTATCGGCATACCCCGAATAACTAAAAAAATCTATCAACCAATTTCATCTACTGCTCACCCTCTGCATCTATCTGAAAAAAAAAGCCCTAGTAATTCAAGAACTGCTTCCGAACGATAAAAACAATTTAACCAATTTCAAGAAAACCTGAGGGTAAACTACCCTCTGTTTTTATCAGTAGATTCTGTGTCTTGAGAAGAGAAAACACGAGAAGCAACTTTTTCATCGATCACAAGAGGTAACTTGCTTTCTACTCCATGTTTATCATTTTCATCAGAGGTGGCAGCAGAATCAATGGAAGCTTCTAGAAGTTCACTCTCCATAGTACGCTCTCTCGGCTGATCCTCAACAACTCTTGTAGAAAAAGATGCAATATGTTCTGCATTATTTACGATTTCTGCGCTATCTAAAGACAAAGGGTTATTTAGCTTTCCAATACCCTCGGCTGCAACTGGAGTTTTGCCGTAAGAATCACGAGTAGATTTCAGACAAGGAGATTCAATTTTGCGTGTGTTGCCTGTGACAGCCTCAACAGCAAGAATGATATCAGATTTACAAACAGAATCTGAAGCAGTAGTAGCTGCTGGATTATTAATTACACCGAGACCGTTAACTTTGCTATTGGGCTTGGAGTTATGGCAGAATCCAGAACTGTCACTTGTCTGCTTATTATCATGTTCATTAGATGAATCAACGTCAGTTTTTTCTACCAAAACGGGCAATCTGGGTTGATCTTGATTCTCGGTTGATTCAGAAACCTTCATACCTACAGTTGAAAGGATGAATTCAGAGGCAAAGTTAACATAACTTAAAGACAATATTTTGCACCCTTTTGGGGCTATGAAACTCACTATATGATAACTATGTCGAAAAGCATTTGGAAATAAAAATTGAAAAATAAAGTGACGTTTCGTGTGATTTTAGTAAGAATAGCAAACAGATTGTGTAGTTTTCTCCCCCTAAAAGTCATATTTTAATTTTAGGGGAACAATGTAAAGAATGTCAAAAAAGGCCAAACATTTCCTTAAACTTTAAAAATAAAAAAAAACTAATTCTGAAGCAAAAAGAGTTCGTTCATATTTGATTACCATCGGAACTTTCTTGCTCCATCAACCGTTTCTGCAACATATCTGTTCCTGGAAACACCAACATATTCATGGACTTCATTTCCTTCTTGAGCACATTGTGAAGTCGATGGAAACCAAAAATTGTAGTCCATGTGTTCATATGCTCTGATATGGCCGGAATAATCAAGTGCTCAACATTAAGAGAACGGAGTTCCTGGAGTTGCAATTCTTGATTATTAATCAATGTGGGCACACAGAAAAATGTGTGGTGGGGGTGGGTTTTGGTGGGAGGGGGGGGGGGGTGAATTTAACTGTCAAAAGGGGCCGTAATTCAGAAGTAAGCACACTTCGTAGGACATGACAGGTCAGCAAGACCAATACAATATTCTTACAGTTTCAATTGCAGATAGAAGGCGCCGGCACATTCCTTGCCGCCTGTAGAGTTCACGAGTACCAATAAACGGCATCTCAGCTAGACGGGTTCCATGGATCCTAATGAGATGAATAATCATATGATCAGATTGGATTTCCTTTCAGGACAAACTACAAAAAAATGAAAAGAAAATAAAAAAGGAATAGGACATTTTTACTCAATAAGAAAAGTAGAATTATCAATAGAACACTGTGCAGAAACCTGGTACCAGTAAATTGAGGCAGATAATTAAAGAGATACATAACTTAATAAGAAACCAGGTTGCAGTAAACCATTACTTGAGTAAATTAAAATAAATCTGAGACTACTGATCATTGTAGAACAATACAAAGATTAGAAAGAAAATGAAGAAACATGATTAGGAGATAATTGGTAAGTCATAGTCCATTCACGTATGTATTAACGATTATTAAACCTGTAATTTAATTTTATTTCACTACGACAGACGGACCATTAATGTCAAACATTGTTTATTACCTTATAGACGCTGCAGAAACTATTTCATCACCTCGCTCCAAAATTGCCGTATAGAATCCACTATAGTTCAGACGGTTGAAATTTGATCTGCAAAGCACAAATATTAGTTATAAGTACTATAATGCATTTGCATGCACACACAGCATACGCGCGCACACACACACACACTTCTCACTTTCAGATATCACATGTTTCACTTTCAGATTTTAGTCTTCAATTTAAGACGATCCATTACACGAATTGCAAACTTTTGGGTTCTTGATCACATAAGAAAAAAGCTCTTGGCCTCATCAACAAAACCTCACTAAGTAAGACTTTCACTCATTACTCACCTCACTTAGTCCACCTCTGCACCTAGGATAACGCTCCATCCAAACAAATTCAGCATCACAAACATAATCACAGGCTTACATCTCACATATAGTCAAGGATCCAATGCTTACAAGGCATTTGTGGTTGAAAATAACGTTCAAGACAGTACCAATTTTATGTCCATAAACTTGTTCCTGGGGACCCAATAATCCAATAAACGTAAAGTAGAAGATTGGAGGCAGAAAGTTTTTCACTCTCTCTCTATATATATGTGTGTTTGTGTGTGTGTTATCTTGTATGTCTAGACGAGGCCAAAACCATATTTTTACGTGTCACACAAAGTTACATCATCATTTTCCAGCATGTCCAAGCAGTGTGGTGCAACATAAATTAGGCGGATAAAATATGTTATGTATGTTTGTATATACAGACACGTCTTTTCATATATGCTTTACCATGGTAAATAAGGGCTTACCCACAGTTATAGAGAACATTACGAATCATATTAATCCCACTCCTCCTATCAATAATGGGCAAAAAACACTCATCCATAACAGATAATGCAACAGCTAGCTTGGAGTTGCATTCCACTCTTTGAGGAAATAGAGGATGCAAGGTATCAGAAATATCTGTTTGTTGAATAAATGACCATGAAAATCCTGCCTCCAGTTCATGTTTGACTCCAAGAATCTTCTGTAAATGATCAAAGAGCTGAAGAAGCAAAAGAAGAGAATTTTATTCTGAAGCCACATCATTGAGCGAAAATAGAGAAAAACATATCGCATATACAATTCAAGCAATCTAAGTATTAGTCAATGATGTGAAATTCCGGAATTGAAAACTTGATGGCAAAGATTAACCCTACTACACTGCATCTTCAACATTTTGGAATGTCGTTTCTAAGATGTTCATTTGGGCCTCAGGGCTACCAGAACAAAGCACAAAAAAACAATGAATACATAGTTCTAGCTTTTAATTCAATGAAGAAACAATACCTCTTCGCACTTAATCCCACAGAAAGATGAAGCATTTGAACTCGTAGGTAGAGCATACATCCTCTGACTGCATGATTTGTGATCTATAAGAAACAATATAACAAGAACGGCATTTTCAGTTTTAACTCATTAAAGGAAAAAATTCATTTGTATGTGTGTTTATGAGATATACAGAAAGATAGAAAATAAGAGACAAAGCTACACAGAGAATTTCAAACCCATAAAAACACTTACATCTTTTCTCGCAGAAGCTGCATTTGGTAAGTTCGTCACCACTAGTATCGGTTTCTGAAGCATTTTCACTGGCATCCCCACAAAATTTGCATATACAATTTGGACAATGCCAATCACCTGACGGAAGCATCTGAAATAGATTGAGAAGAAAGTACTTAACCTCCAAGAAAGAAAAAAAAAAGTAAATACAAAATATAATTTACGCGAAAACATGACTAGTTAAGCATTTTATAATCTCTCGTCACTATTGCGAGAGTGTATCATCTGGGTGGGGGGGGGGAGTGTTGACTAACATATCTTGCAGTACATTATTCACTTAAAATAGAAGTGTATGCAATATTACTTCGGAGCAAATTAAAAGCAGATTTCTGCTTTCCTCCTAACAAGAACTCCAGATTATTCTAAGATAAAGTGAGGGCATATACGAAACCATATACACTCTGTACTAATGAGCATAACCACAAGAACCATGTAATAAATACCTGTATTTCTAAACAGATCTGGTGAAAAGTCGAAGGACAACTATCACAACAGATCAAAGCACCCCCATCACCGCAGATACCACAGGTATCATCATCCGGGTCATCACCATTGACATCAACAGCATGGAAAATACGACGTGCAGATTCTCCTTGACTATTCCAGGCATCAATCTGGCACTGCAAAAGGGATGCTCCTGACTCCAAAAATATGTTCCGGAAAGGCTGACGTAACTTGCTGCCAGCATGCACCTCAAACTTCGAAACTGTAAGGATTTTACTGCAGCACCCACAGTGTATACCGTCTCTTGTGATCCAACCTTCTAGCATCACCCGATGCCTTTTACGGTTCATATACTGCACTTTTTCGCTCAACTGTGCTGTTCCAGAGTCAATAAGCCATCCTAAAACAGTTCTCTTTCCACTGTATGAAACATATCCATCAGAACCACGAACAAGAAGTGTGCATCTCCCAATTACTTTACTTGTTCTTCCTTGCAAGACGTTAGCACTGGAAGCAATACAAGGTTTTCCGACTTTCACTTTTCTGAGACTCCTCTCAGGCGAATCATCGCTTACATCATCATCACTCCTCTCCCGATCCACTTCTAGCAACTTGCTTCTCTGTGACTTGCAATTATCTTTCTTATAGGAACTGAGTCTCTCCTCGTTCTGGTCACTGTCTGAGCTCTCTCCACCATCTCTAACAGCAGATCTCTTAGCACTCTTAGTCGCACCTTCTTCTTTCCGCTTCCTTTTCATTTCTTGCTCGATTTTCTTTTTGGTTTGTCTTGTGAGTTTGTTTATCAGATCTTCAGATAGGGGAGCAAATGAAGGAGAACCCACATCAAGTTTTCTTTTAGCACTGTCTTCGTCCAACTGTTTTTTGAGGGCATCATAAGCCTTGATAATCGACCAGTATGCTGTTCCATTAGGGTTAATGTACACAGCATCTAAGTAGTCTCTGTTCCTTCTTGGTCTATAGTCTATAGTCCACCCAGCATCAATTAGCATTCCTCTTATCTTTTCTCGCAGTATTTGCTTTTCTGTACTTCCACCACGCTTCGCTTTCCCTTCTTTCTCGTCTTTCACTTTAACAACAGGAGTGACATTCTCGGAAGGTGCTCTTTCTTCCTCCATTTTCACTACTTTCTTTGAGCTACAAACTCGCAGACCTGGTGGTGCCAGTTTAAGTGCAGTATCAGTACCATCACTTTCCGAATCTATAGCTTTTATGCCTTTACTCAAACCCGGTTTCACTTTTTCCAACTTCACCTCAATTTTCTTCTTCTCAATAGTTTTCTCCTTGTCAAGCAACAAAGCTCGGTTTTCAAGTGCTCTCGGAGCTCGATAAACAGGCAGTGGTGGCGACAAGTTCTTTAAAACGTCTTCCGACATGGAACCTGCTCTTTTGTCAACCTCCCTATGATCATACTTCTTATGATGAGAATGTAAATCCATCCCTTTCTTCTTATTCACCATAACCTTCAATACCCCGTTTTTCGGCCTGCACCCTGATTGGTTCCTTGGCA